TGTCGTTTTGTATTATCTGTAATAGAACAATTATTTGTAGACTGAACCATACACCAATATTGGAGCTGACCATTGTCAGCTCCATATATCCAATCCAGCTTTTTCCAACATGCCCTCCTAAGATAAAACACCAGATAACAAAATTTTCAAGTTTATTATTAATCATTTTTTGAACAAATTTCTTTTTTATTCCACCCCCCAAAGTGGCAATTCTTCGTCTTGGCTTTTTTAGGCAATGAGTAAAATTGATGTAATTTTACTGAATGTTAATTACAAAATAATTTTACAATGGAATTGCCATTTGTGCATTGACACCAAATTGGTATAGGTCAAAAACACATCATTGCCTGACAACAAATAACTAAATAATATATATGTGCAAATTTATTCTTTTCGGTAAGCGGCAAAGTACCTATTTGCAAATCATTCAAGTTGAAATGTAGCAAATTGCTCAATAATTTTGAAAAATATATATATATATATATACATACATGTCCAAATTCAGTCATTGCAAACAAATGCAGAAAACAAAGATCAAAAACTCAGATTCCGGTGCAGAGCGGCAACCTGAGACAAAAATGTGCACTTCAAATTGAGTGTAAAGTGATGTAAAATGTACATCTTTATTTAGTATACAAATTTTGATAGGAAACCCGCGGATTCTTCCACATGGCGAAAATAGCCACATGCACCATGTGGTCATTGCAGCCACCGCCACCAAGTGGGGGAAGCGGTTAGTTCCTAATGCCAGGACCATACCACTCTAAAGTTATGTGACTAATAGATTTTAGGATAAACAAGTATCCCTGTATTTTTAAATTGTTCAATTGCTGCACAAATTGTATTCAAAAATATTTCATTCCCTGTTTGAGATAAATGTACTCCATCATTTTCAAAAAGCAATGCATCCTTGTAATTTATATCTTGATATTTGATGTAACCTCCCCCATTCTTTACAACTGCTGCTGCAATGGAGCTATTCAACCTTTTTAAAGTTCATTGCATCAATATTTTTTGAATATCTCCAGTTTCTCCTTGGTAGCAACTGAGACCAAATTATCTTTGTATTGGGTAATAATGATTGAATTTTCCCCAGAGTACTTTTAATGATTTGAATAAGAATTCTCAAAGAGATGTTACCCACGTCATTACCACCACAATGTAAAATTATGTAATGTGGACTGTCATTTACTTTCAACAAGGACTTAATTTTGTTACACAACTCTGACCATACCATACCCCCTTTTCCTTGCCACCACATATTTATACTCAGCCTTTGAAGTCCTAGGCATACTCCACCTGCCCTTCTCCTGGCTGCAACAAATGCTCTTACGACTATTGAGGACCCCATTACCCAGACCTGAAACTCTGAAATAACATTTTAATCAATCATGAATTTTAAATTCAGGGTAAAGCAAACATAATCATTAGATTCTGATGAACAATTTGTAAGATTTTGATTTCCACCTACCAGCTTTACAGATTTGATCTTCAGACATACCTAACATTGCCGAATTAGTGACTGCCCCTATTCTGAATGAATGTGATTTATATCTACCACTGTCTAATCTTACTGCCTTTAAAGCTTTGCTTAAAACTGTTGTGAACTGAATACGTGTGAGTACTTGACCCCCAAAATGACAAAACAAGTTCCCTTGCTTGATAGGTCTTACTCTTAAGTAGCTTGCCATAATATCCACTGGCTTTATGCTGGTCATTGCTTGACTATTTTCTATATAACAATTGTTTCCCCCTTTCCCCTTTGGTCAGCTTTGGAGTGCTGGAGATAAATTTTCATCATATTTTCATTAATTAGCATTTCAAGGTTTTCATACTGGACAGCATGACCTGCAGTTTGTTTTTTCCCTTCAGTGATTTCACCCACTCTAAAATACCCAAAAAAGGCCACACTGTAAGCAGCTGCAAACAGTTTTGCTTCATAATCATTAATGCATACAATAGGCAATACTTTCAATATGTTTTCTAAAATGTTTACAGTTATTGGTAATCTGCCATCTTTTTTCTTTGACTTTCTCCTGTACCCTCCTAATAGCTTTTTATCCATAAAATTCTGGGTTATATCTGTGTAATCATTAAGCTTGAGATAAAATGCAATTCCTGATATGTAAGTTCTCGCTGTTGATTCCCCCAAACCCTTCACTGACATGTAGCCTATGAAATGAACGATTCGCTCTAGTGTAGGTGGCCAGAGCTTTTCAAAGTTGCAATTCACTCGAAATTCGTCAAAACAAGTCAACCTTTGTTTGTAAGTCTGTTGTGTATTTTGTGCTGTTGCAAGCTGCAGTAATTTGTTTACTTCTTCTCCGACATCAAAACAAGAAATTCCTCTGGTATACCCTTTGGATACTTGTCTGCCCCTGGTGCTAGTTGTCTGAAGCGATGAAACTGTTTACGAGATAAAGAATCTGTTATATTATTTTGTTTTCCTATTTTATGTTGAGCTTTAAACATGACATTGTACCTCAGAAGCAAAGAACCATTTTTCTTATCATCATCATAATCCGTTCTGATTTTGAAGACTGTCTGTTGACAATCGTTACTAATGCACTGTTGTCTATATACATAATGATTTTATTGTTTGCAAAACATCCCCCCCCCACACACACACACAGAAAAATGGCCAATAGTATTGGTACTAGTTCTTGATATGACATTTCTCTAAAAATTGAGCTGTCCCAATCATGGGGCCATGGCCAGTAAACCCAGTGACCTTGACAGTATGCCCCACAACCTAACTCAGGATTTCCAGAGCTGTCTGTGAACAACTCAATATTATCACTGCTTAGCCACTCCCTTTCATGAATAAGTCGAACCCCATTAGTCATGAATTTAGAGCTAGGTGTGATGTATAGTAACCATAACTCAGGGTCAACTACCCCCCAGGTCCCTGATGGATTTTAGCCATTTTTAATCTGAATTGCTGATCATACTCCATAAACCCTAAACCTGGTGAACCTGCTGCTGCTAAGAACGTCTTTCATATATTTTAACAAGTCTAGAGTCTTGGTCGGATGGGCCTCTAAATATATGCTTGAATAAATGATGAACGCGTCCGTCCATTGCTGTATATTGTTGATTTTTTTCATGTTTTTATCGCTTGTTTGAAGCTTACCATTTACCATGACAATTGCTTGTTTTTAAATATCATTTGCATTTACTAGCAGTTTTGCTAAGTCGACATATTGACCGTTAATGATTTTGTTTTTTACCTCTTACGACACATTTAACCCCAATGGGTTTTCATAACTAACAATCATCTTCGGGACATCTGAATGTTCATTCAATATTCCGAGGTTTTTACTGTACTTGCTTCTTGTACTTGTCCAGGATCATTTGGCGCCTCTGGAGATTCCACCACTGGGCATGGGCTAGCCTCCGTTGACAGTGCTTTTCACAGGCTGCTCTTTCACCTTTTCTACGCTTCTTTACCTCTTTTCCGCAATCCGTTTAGATTTTTTATTTTCGGCATTGTTTTGGTGATTTGCGATTCTTCTGGATTGATGAAAATATTTTTATCTTCTGCTTTTCGTGGTTGATCGCTTTGTCGGATGATGGGAAACGGAAGTACACTATTAGTGGAACCGATTTATACAGAATTTCCGGAATTAAGACATAATAATGATTCATGCTAAAATAAACGGCTTTATTGTTAAATCAATAAATCTTATTATTTTCTCTTGCTGACCCTCCCCCTTTTTTTTCTTCAAAACAGCTTTCACAGTGTATAAAAGAATACCTATTTTTGTTGATATGGTTATGACGGATAATGTGTAACTAAATGTTTACTTGTATCTAAAGATGAAATTTATTATATGTATACATGTACTTGTAGATTGAGTGTTATAGAAATAAAAATAAGACAAAAACAGAGATACAGAATGACAGATAGTCAGACGGCGGACAAAAATAATTTTTGTCCCCTGATTTTCGATTTTAGTGCATTAAAATGAAGTTTTGATCAGAACATTAAAAACATAAAAATCTGTCTTTTTAGCTCACCTGAGCCGAAGGCTCAAGTGAGCTTTTCTGATCAAAATTTGTCCCTTGTCTGTCGTTGTCGTCGTCGTCGTTGTAAACTTTTCACAATTTCATCTTCTTTTCCAGAACTACTGGGCCAATTTCAACCAAACCTGGCACAGAGCATACTTGGATGAAGGGGATTAAATTTTGTTTAAATGAAGGGTAAAACCCTCATTCAAGGGGAGATAATTCAGAAATAGTGAAAATTTGGTGGCATGTTTTAAAAATCTTCTCCTCAAGAAACACTGAGCCAAAAAAGTTGAAACTTATAGGAAAACTTCTTTACATAGTATAGATTCAAATTTGTTCAAATCATGACCCCTCGGGGTAGGGTGGGGCCACAATGGGGGATCAAAATTTTACATAGGAATATATAGGAGAAAAATTTAAAAATCTTCCTCTCTAGAACAGAAAAGCTTTGTTTAGTGATATTGATATGTAAACATTCTCAGGTAGTATAGATTCATGTTTGTTAAAATGATGACCCATGGGGGTAGGTTGGGGCTTCAATGGGGGATCAAAGTTTTACATAGGAATATATAGGAAAAAATCTTCTCAAGAACAGCAAAGCCATATTTAGTCATATTGATATGGAAGCATCCTCAGGTAGAGTGGATTCAATTTTGTTCAAATGATGACCCCCATGGGTAGGGAAGGGCCACAATGGGGGATCAAATTTATACATAGGAATAAATAAGAAAAAGTCCTTAAAAATTTTCTGCGCAAGAACAGCAAGGCCATTTGTTATGTTGATATGGAAGCATTCTCAGGTAGTTTAAAATTCAAGTCCCCTCCCCTCCCATGTAAACTTTTCAATACTGAACTGATTTGTGCTTTTTCCTAGCCAATGTGCTCAAGTTAGCGATGTGGCCCATGGGCCACTTGTTTAAGGATGGTTTTATTGAAGAAAAAAAAACTTGGTGTTTAATATATATTTATATTATATTTATTTCAGCAGGTTGTCTGCCTCAGGATTTAGAACATCCTCATAATGAACATGCTACGACTCAGCAACCAGAGTAAAGTACGACAGTGTTTTCAATGTCAGGGGGACACAGAATTCTACTGTAACACGTGTAAACGTGACCTGTGTCTACAGTGTAAAGAGAAACACGTTGTTGATTTAGATACCAATTACCATGATGTTGTGATTTACCGTGAGAAATTTGGAAACATCTCAAAACAAGAAACTTGTCTGAGACATCAAGACAGAGTGTACAAATTGTTCTGTCATTCTTGCAACCTGCCTTTTTGTTTCGGATGCAAAGATCATTTCAAAATTACAGAACAAACTATTTGGAGTAAACATGACATTCTGGATATTTTCATAGCATACGAAACAAATAGAGAACAACACCAAGAAATCATTCATAAAATCAGAAGTGAGATTCTCTATAACTGTATCTGGCTCCTGGCAGGAATCAAAACAGATGTAATAGCTTGTCACCAACAAATCATCAAACGTCAATCAGAAGTGTCAACGTAAGCTAAGAAACTGAAGATCCTTATCGACACTGTGATTCGTGATGTTTTGCAATATATGACGCAAAGATTACATCAACAGAAAAGAAAATTGAACAAATATCTTGCGAGCATGGTGAACTATGAACACAATTCTGAACAGTTAGCAAACAGGCCGATAAAATTCCTCTTATTCCTAAGGAAAACTGGAGGTCCCAAGATAAGGGACACTCCTAGTCTTACAAAACGCGCCCGAGTCTCTATGACAGAGGAAATCAATACGGAGGATGTGATAAATTTAGGAAAAATCCATATCCCAGAGACGAGGAAAAGACTAGTTAAAAATGAACGTCTGCTGAAACTGATGCCTACACCTGTGTTACACAGATCTTTCACAGTGAAAGGTGTTAGTTCTGTAACACAAATATCCCATGTGACATCAGATCAAGTCTGGATTAGTGACGGTATTAATCTCATCTTGACAAACACAACAGGTGAAAAACTATATCATGAGAGAGGCTTGGCCAAACACTTACATGAATTTTTTCGTAATGGAGTACACACAGTGAACAGAAAAGGTGATCTTATATTTATAGATTGGGAGGGTAACATTAAAAAACTATCTAAAGATTACAGAACAATGTCTACACTGAAAAATAAAAGAGAACAATTGAGACCGCGCTGTGTGTACTGTTCCCCCTCCAATGGTGACCTGCTGATCGGGATGTATAGATATAAAACAAATACTGGCAATGTGAAACAGTACAATTACAAAGGACAATATATACAAACAATACAACGCGACAACACAGGTCAGAAACTGTACAATTTACCAACATATATCACAGAGAACCACAACAGTGATGTTATTGTGTCTGACAATAACTGTGTAGTGGTGACAAACCGTAAAGGAAGACATCGCTTCTCATATAGAGGATATCAGACAGGGTCAGGAATACGACCACTAGGAATCTGTACAGAAGCGCTGTCACATATTCTGATTTGTGATGAAAACTCCAACACAATACAAATGCTTGACAAGGACGGTCACTTCATGTCAATAATACAGACAGAAAAACAAGGGGATGACTGTCCACTGAGGCAGAGCTTGAGTTATGATGAAAAAACCCACCTTCTCTGGGTTGGATCATGGAGCAAAATATTGAGTGTTTACAGATATATAAATAGACAATACATTCCGGCAGATAAATGAAATAAGTTAATTTTATTACCCTTACCAAACTGTTATGTTTCCTGCAGACCTGCAGCAAGGTTGCAGCCAAAAAAAATTGTTTGCGGGAGAAGTTCGCAAGAACAGTAAACAAGTCAAATCAGCCAATGAAATGCAGATTGTACCGAGGTCAAGACAGAATTCGCCATTTTGAAATGTTTGAATTGAAGTTGTAGATGTTTCAGTATTTTGTTAGGAATATATCCTTTTTGAATGATTACCATGATTACAAAAGCATAATTCTGGATGTAGGAGTACATTGGCATACACATCTAATTGCTAAGATCTAATTTTGTTTTATTTTAATATGAAACAATTATCTCTTATACGTTTAAGTAACCGATGTACTTGCTAGGTCAAATCTTAATCTTTTTGTGAATTTTAATCTTTATTTTAATATCACATTTGTAAATTTCTTAAATGTATTAAAGGTTCTAAATCAATTATTATAAATGTTTATATGTTTTCAAATAAATTGGTATTAACTGTAAAATTTTAATTATGAAGTCACGTGCAAAAGTTCTTGATTTTCTGTACATGTCCAAAAAATTATATTACATTTTTATTCAGAATAGTATGTGAACATAGAGACTATGAACACTTCAGAATTTAAACTTGCATCATTTCAGACACTTGTGGTGGATTTATCCATGATTAACAGATTCAGGTCAGGACAAAGGCTTTTCTGCGAACTGGCTGTTTGTACGCAGGAGTGTGCAAAAAACAATACCTACATCTATATTGCTTGCCGCATTTAGCAGCAAGCCTGCAGCAATGTTTGCCACAAACTTGCATCAATGTTTGCCGCAAGTATGTGTCACAGGTAGTGAAAAATCAAGTCTCAATCGGGACTTGAACCCAGGGCCTCTGGCGTACCGTGCCAGCGCTCTAACCACTGAGCTATTGAGACCCGATATATTGACTGACTTTCACGCACCTGTGAACCCGGTGACATATTCCCCCTCTTTGTGGAAATTTGTCCTCGAATTTTAGGAGTTAAGGAAATGCTGTAAGGTATGTTCCTAGGGATTAGTAGGTATTTGTACGTTGGGCGCCAAATGTCACAGGTGGTTGGCATCTCTTTCCAATTACAATTTTAAATTACATTACAAAACAGGTAAATCAACAGAGATGCTGATGGATTATCTCGTAGACCTACAAAAATTTATCCTAATGTTATTAAGGCTTTGACTTCAGCAGTGTTAGTAGAAAAGGAAGAACTTCCTTTGGATGAAAGTCTAGTATTGTCAGAAAATGCTACACTACAAAAGAGTAATGAGGATAATGAATTATAAGAGTTTAGTAATATTAACTGGGCTGTAGAACAAAGAAAAGATACATCTATTAACAGACTCATAGAGTTGTTAGAAACAGGTTTGAAACCAGACAGTAAAGAGTTAAAACATGAAAACCTAGAAGTTAGAGAATACCTGAGAGAGTGGAGAAATTATGAAATATTTAAAAATGTTCTTTATCGTCATACAATGGTAGATGAAAAAAACATCGAACAACTAGTTTTACCATCTCATTACAGAAATGTTGCATTTAAAGGTATTCATAATGATGTTGGCCACCAGGGGAGAGACAAAACTTTATGGTTGGCAAAACACAGATTTTACTGGAATGTTATGAAAAAAACAAATCAAAGAAAGAGTTGAAACCTGTGGTAGATGTGTTCGAAGAAAAACAACAGAAAGCCCTAGAGCTAATCTTGTAAATATACAAACTACTAAACCTTTAGAAATACTGTGTATTGAATTTTTTAACATTAGAGAAGTCTAAAGGTGGGTTTGAAAATATTTTAGTAATAATTGACCATTTTACAAAATATGCAATGGCAGTGCCAACAAAGAATCAACTAGCAAAAACAACAGCTAAAGCTCTGTTTGAGAATTTTATTTGTCATTATAGTTTCCCAGAAAGACTTCATTCTGATCAAGGTCGAAATTTTTAGCGTAAGGTAATTAAAGAACTTTGTGCAATTAGTGGGGTAAGTAAAAGTAGAACAACGCCCTACCATCCATTGGCAAATGGTCTTGTAGAAAGATTTAATCAGACTTTAATAAAAATGCTAGGCACTTTGGAAAATTATAAAAAGGAAGATTGGAAATCCTATATACTTCCTTTAGTACATGCATATCATGCAACCAAACAAGATACTACAGGATTTAGCCCTCATTATTTAATGTTTGGTTGGCATCCAAGATTAGCTATTGATGCCTTTTTAAATTTAGATGACTCAGAGTCTTCGGTTAAACCTACAAATCATCTAAACTATGCTGAAAAAGTAAAGAAAAGATTACAATTTGCCTACAAAGTTGCAAGATCAAGCATTGATAAAAATAGTTCTCGACAGAAAGAAAATTATGACAATATAGTTCGTTTCTCGAAATTAGAAATTGGCGATAGAGTCTTGGTTCGGTTGTTAGCTAAAACAGGAAAATGTAAACTTTCAGATAAGTTGGAGAAAGACCCTTATGTAGTAATAGACATACCAAATGGATAGACATTCCTGTGTACAAGGTGCAACGGGCATCAGGAAAGGAACCTACAAGGTTATTGCACAGAAATTTATTATTAAGGTCTTCCGTCTCCACGGAAGACCTTATAGTGATTCTATTGTTTCTTATTATTAAGGTCTTCCGTTTCAGTCGGAAGACCTTATAGTGATTCTACTGTTTTTTCTTATTATTATTTTTTTTTTCCTTTTCTTTTTTTCACGATTTCTCAGAGATGGCTGGACGGATTTTCTTGAAATTTGCAGGGATAATAGAGAATGAAAATACCTACAAATGTATCTTTCATTTTTTTTTCAAAATTCACTTCCGGTCGTCAGATATGTCCGATTTCCGTTTTTTTCAAAAATATTTTGTCCGAGTCATATCTCAAAAACGGTAAAAGATTAAGACACCAAACTTATATGAGTAATAGATCTTGAGGAGTAGGCAAATCCATTTGGGTTAAGAGCGTCAGCCGTCACTTCCGGTCGTCACAGGAAGTGATCAAAGAAATCGAAATTTTCAACTTTTCTTTCTTGATTTTTTTCTTTCATAACATTGTTGCATCTTATTTGTAGATTCGAAATATGTTAGTCCCACCGGAAACAAAAGCGTCAACTTCCGGTTATAAGCAAAAAACTGCATAATTTGAGTATTTTACTTTCCCATAGATATTTTTTATAGATAAAGTATTTGAGCTGATTTTTGAGTATGTTATCAAGACTGCAAATGTCTAGAGTATCGTCAAATATCTTTGTAAAATTCACTTCCGGTCGCGCATATAAATGTCCGCAAAATTAGAACTTGTCCGACTGACATCTCAGAAACGGTAAGAGATTTAGACACCAAACTTATAGGAGTATTAGACCTTGAGGAGTAGACAAAACCATTTGGGTTAAGAGCGTCAGTCGTCACTTCCGGTCGTCACAGGAAGTGATCAAAGAAATCGAAAATTTCAACTTTTCTCTTTTGGAGTAAGACTTGCATCATATAATTGTATCTTTTTCCCAGTTACGATATGTGTTGGTCCCACCGGAAACAAAGAACGACAACTTCCGGTTATAAGAGAAAAACTACATAATAGGGATTTTGATTTTTTCCCCAACATATCGCTTATAGATAGAGTTCTTTAAATGATTTTTATATATGTTATTGAGACTGCAGATGTCTAGAGTGACGTGAAATGTCTTAGTAAAATTCACTTCCGGTCGCGTGTTTTCTTGTCCTCAAAGTGAAAAGTTATTTCAGCGAGATATCGGAAACGGCATGAAAGTAAGACACGAAACTTATAGGAATAATAAAACTTGGTGAGAAAGCAAAACACATAGGGTTAAAAGCGTCAGCCGTCACTTCCGGTCATCACAGGAAGTGATCGAAGAAATCGAAAATTTCAACTTTTCTTTTTAAAATTAAAACTTTCAACACTTTATTGCTTCCCTTTCGCTATTTTGAAATATGTTAGATTCCACCGGAAAAAAACATTAAACTTCCGGTTTTAAGAGATAATCTACATTATTTCGTGGTTTAACTTTCTCATAAATATCACTTATAGATAAGTATTTGAAATGAATTTTTTACATATGCTGTAGATACTGCAAAAGTCAAGAGAAAATTCAGAGATTTTTATTCAGTTCACTTCCAGTCGTGTGTTTTCCTGTCCTCAAAATTAGAATTTGTTCTCACAATTGTTCGGCAACAGTAAAAGACTGAAGTCTAAAACTTTCAGGACTTATAGTCATTCATCAGTTCATTTGCATCGTGTAAAAATAGTGTGTCGTCATTACTTCCGGTCGTCACAGGAAACGAAGCAAAAAAGTATTTTTTAAGTTATTTTGTTTCTACATAAGTTTTAGGCTAATACCGACGTTGCAAAAGACATGTTCATGCAAACTGGAAGTAGTATAACGGAAGACCTTCTCATTACTAGTAATGAGTTTCTAGTTATTATCATTTTTCTTTTTTTTTAGACAAAATTTTGTGCACGCGATTTCTCAAAAACTATTCAATGAATTTCCTTGAAATTTTCAGGGATAAAAGGTCTTTATATGAAATTTATATAAAACTCCGGTTTTTAGTAAATTCGGTTCCATTGCCAAGTTATAGACAATTTTCTGATTTTAAAATGAAATTTTGTCCGCGAGTGTTCTCAAGAATGGCTTAAGATATTAACTGGAGACTTATTAGAGATGATAGAACATGATTTTTAGATTGGAGAGGGCACCTTTTCGTTCGTCGTCGGCACTTCCGGTCGCTTACGGAAGTGATCAAAGAAATCGTTAAATTTCAACTTTCCTTTTTTAAATCAATTCTTACATCACATTATTGCATCTCTTTTGTAGTTTTGAAATATGTTGATCTCACCGGAAACAGAAACGTCAACTTCCGGTTATAAGAGAAAAACTACATAATTTGAGTATTTTTCTTTCCCATTAATGTCTTTTGTAGATAAAGTATTCGGTTTGATTTTAAAATATGTTATTTAGACAGCAAATGTCTAGAATAA